GTGAACATTCAGAAATTTGGAACACCTCTTCCCACGACTATAGCAATAGGTAAAGAAACTGTCGGGCTGTAGTGCCAAGAAAAAAAAAACTGTCATGCCGGTCACGGTAGCCGAGCGGTCTAAGGCATATACTGTATTCGCTCGCTTGGAAACGGGGATCGTGGGTTCGAATCCTACTCAGGGCATGGATGTTTAGTTTGTGTGTGCGCGTTTTTCTGTTTGTGTACAGGTAGAGGCCTTGCGACGAGCTGATCACCCGCCCAAGGAGTCCTACCGAATGTGTAAGATTTAGAAAAACCGAAGTGAACAGAGATGTTCATGGAGGTAGGCCTAGGCCCACTGGGGCTGTAGTGCCAAGGAAAACAAAACTGTCACGGTGGCCGGAAAACAGTCGCATTCATTACGCAGTGTTTAATGAACTGAATGAGAGGAAACGTAGAACTACTGGTATGCAACTTTGCAGTATATAAATGACACTTTTATTATATACGCGTGTGATCAGACACAAAAGTTATTAAGCTCAGTATTATGTAGTATTCACCCTAACATCTTGTGTACCTCCACTGTGTATGCCAAAGGCTTCTCCGAAGACATCAGTAAAAATATATCTTACAGAGATGTATTCCGCAGGGTTCTGATTGGGAATCTCTCCTATATTTTTAAGGTCTTTCATTCTGGTCCGTCACACTAACAAATTAACAATCAAGTTCCTTCCGTCAAATGTGACACTTTTATAAGTTTTCCTCCTATATCTTACGTAGATGCTGCAGAATGACGGTCGATGTGTCCAAATGATGACTTGTCACCCTTCTCCTGTCAGTTGTATCATATAAAGAGCAAATACCAGCTTGTCCTTTGTTTCTTGAGGTGCTTTATAGAAATTTAAACCAACATTTCTAGACAATTTAACATCATCTAATTTCTTACCTCGACTTGACTTGAAATATATTCTAATATTCTTCCAGGACAATATATAACAGTAACTGATCATTAGAAAGAAATGAAAATGATGTAGGACTACTACAGTCAGAATATTAGTATTTTCTTTCAATGAACTATAAGAGTTGAGACGTTCAAATGTAATGTCCTGAACCAAAGTCTGTCACAGAATGCTGAGGTAGAAAAGAAAAACGAAATTGAACTTCAAGCGGGATTTTGTAGTGACGAGGACATGCACTTCTCGCTGGCTCTTTGTCTCAAGTGAAAATAGCGCCAGACGCCACTGAAACTCAAATAATGACAGGATTTATACAGTTGTTTATGAAGTATACTCAGCAAATATCTCCATCCCATCTTGTTGAAACATAAATTTTTCATAATTGACATCATCCAAATATTGTTCAGTAGTGGTTGAGCCGATTGTCTGGATAATGTGGGACTCCCAACGTTTCACAACCCTATGGGTATTCACGGCCTGGTACAGGGATACCTTTACTTTTACTCAAGCGCTTAGTCGCTGGCTTTCCACCGCGGCGGCCGGGGTTCGATCCCAGGTCTGGTCAAGTGGGATNCAAGCGCTTAGTCGCTGGCTTTCCACCGCGGGATTTGTGGACAAAGTGGCGCTGGGGCAGGTTTTCTCTGAGTACTTCGGTTTCCCTTGCCAATCTTCATTCCACCAATTGCTCCACAATCACCCTCACCTATCATCTGGGGCTGTTACAATAGGCCAGAAGTGGGCGCAGTACAAGGGACTTAAGTCCCAACCCACTAGCGATAAAAATAATACTGGTGAAATCCTAACAGATCACCCTTCGAAGTGGGTCCTCTCTAACAGAAAATGCAAAATTATATGGAGCTGACCAGGGGTTACCGGCCTACTAACAATGGAATGCATCCATACTCTCGAATGTCTAGGCATCTTCCGCTTTTTTAAAGTCAGTGCAGCCAAACTAATTCAGTCTTCAATTTTTAGCGTGATTTGGTGAGAGTTGCTATAAGACGCTAAAATAATATTGTAGAAGGAACTGTTTGAAGTATACGACTCCAGCGGAGGGCCATGTTGACATACTAGTGAACTGCATATCGGCTTCATATGAACCTCTTACGGCCACACGGATGAAAACAGCATCATTATCAGGATTTCTGTGAACCGAATAGCTAAATAACTTTGGGGATTGTAAGGAAATACTGGAAAAGAAATGGAAACAGCTCGAGGGAGATGTGGAGAGGTTGATCTATATGACTCATTTCCGTGGCCTGAATACTGGGAACGTTTCCAGATTGGAATATACGCCAGTTACATCAGTGCACTTCGAAATGGTTTCCACAATTTACAAAATGGTTCCGAACAAGAAGATGGACATTTTCTATTTGAATACTTCAGTAATTATTACTGTAATTTACCATATGATTAAATGCAGGAGACTGAACATTAAATAATGGCAAGTGATATGTTGAGTGTTTTATGATTCATAAGAAACTTTAAAATAAATTGCAGTTATTTTGGTAGTAAAGCACCATGACATAAAGATGTACGAGAGAGGAGAAACAACTTTAGGTAAAAGTGACCAACGAGCTCGGTTCACTCTGTTCCTGAGGTCAAAGTTATATGTGCCTATTTAAACTTAATCTTTATATTTAAGTTAAATCAGTGAAATTAAAGCTTTTGGTGTCTGGACATGTGACATTTCCTAATAGTATACCTTAAACTATCTAGAATGCACAGAAATTATTTAGGTTAGACACATCCCGTAACATCCTGAGACTGATATTATATATGTAACATATCTAAAGCGTTGGCAACAAAGAAAAAAGGGAGAAATAGCTCGAGAAAAATCTGGCTAGTGAAATTTTGTTAAACAAAAATACCACAGCTGCTGAATTGTTAACAGAAGCAAATTATTCCAGCCAATCATCTGACTAGAAATAAGTTTATACTGTACCTAGACTGTGGTTTGTTGTTGTTACTACTTCTTTTCTTCATATCACATTAAAAATGTAATATTAATCACATTGGTGTTTGATTTTCATTGCACAGTGTAATAGGTTTTACCGGCAAATTCATATGCAACCAATCGCACAGAAGCCCAAGGCCTCTAACGGGTATGAGTTTCAGCCGTCAGCATTCAGATGTTTCGAATTTCGTTTTGTACTAATTTATTAATCAAGAAAAGACAATTTTAAACATTAATTTTTCCTAAGAGAATTATATCTTGTGATGCTACGCTATGTAGAATGGAAAATATTTATCGACGTTTCGGAAGTATGTACTACTTCCATATTCAGAGTCCAAGAGCATTGCAGTTTGCTTGGCATAGTCTTAGACCCTGAAAATATAGATTAGTTCATTCTTCCAAAGCATCAATACAAATGTACCAGACTAAGCCGCGTAACCGCCCAGAAGTAAGTACTCTTCATAATGACCGCTGTGAGAACCTCAACTGTCACTTTCTCATCCCGTTTTTCTTCGTTTCGATATTTGCCAAACTCTCCTACATAATCAACCGTATTAATATTGAACGTGCTATGTTTTTAGAGAAATCTGCAGAAATAATTACAATTAAGCAGCGGCTGAATTTTAGTAGTCCCTAATAAATTTCATTAGCTTCATAACTTGTACTCTTCTCCAAGTAGAATGATCAAGTCAAGGAGGATGAGGTGGGCAGGGCATGTAGCATGAATGGGGGAGAAGCGGAATGCATATAGGATATTGGTGGGAAAGCCAGAAGGAAACAGACCACTAGAAAGACTAAGGCATAGAGGGTGAACAATATTAAAATGGATCTTAGAGAGATAGGATGGGATGACATGGATTGGATTGAGCTGGCTCAGGATAGGGACCAGTGGAGGGCTCTTGTGAACACGGTAATGAACCTTCGGGTTCCATAAAATGCTGGGAAATTCTTGAGTAGCTGCAGATTTGGCTTCTCCTCAAGAAGGGCTCAGCTCCATAAGTAAATAAAAGAAATACATAAATTTCATTAAGCGGGAGTATTAAGCAGCCTCCGTTTTATGACATAAATTTTCTTTGTTTTACCGTATGACTTAGTACATCTGAAATATTGTGTTTAAGCCTGCTTGAACACCGGGACCATGGGTTCGAATCCCAATTTTGAATGAGTGTATATTTGGGTCTTTTCCTGTGTTTGTGTTGTCCTGTGTAGGTAAAGACCTTGCGACTGGCTGATCCCCTGTTCAGGGCGTCCTACCTACAGTCTTCAAGATTTGAAATCTCGGATTATTTCTGAATGGGATCAGATCAAAAGGCCTAATCCGTCAAAAGAAGAAGTTGGGTATTTAAAGTGATTTGGGTCTTTCTAATTTAAGTTTTGATTCAATCATCTTTGGTGTCATTGTAAGATTTAAGGTTCTCACAGTGGTGGTTATGAAGAATACTATCTTCGTTAGGGTCGTTCGCCTCAGAAACAAATTTGTCTTCTATGTTATAATTTAATAGCAGATATAATCGCCACATACTTTGTAGATTTAGTCTATTTCGACAGATTTTTGAGCGGTCTCTTTGGGCAAAAAAAAAAATTATGTCAAGCAATTTTTTTATTCTCTTTTAGGAAGAAATCAAGTTAAGAAATATGGCAATCAGAATTTATCTTCTAGCGCAAACGCTACTTATTTCGGTGACTTTAGAACAAAAATGGCCCCTTGATATGTTGGCAGCGTTCATAAAACTATTTCATTTTAGCATTTCTCATTCTTTGTATATTTCGCTACAAATAGTACAACTTTCATTGCAACTGTGTAAACGTAAATAATTAATATTAGATATCTGACATACTAAACACTTACTGAAAGCACTGAGTAACAGAGAATAACTGTGATTAAGGAGTTATTTTTTTATTCAATTGTATTTCAAATTTAATAATGTGCCATTAGTTATTTAATATCCGCTACCATCACATAAGCCACAACAGTTTTTATTCATTCCCAATTGAAATTGGATTAAATTATGTATAATTTTGTTGAATGTGATGTCTTTGTTTCAAAGAGAGTTCAATGATTGTATTATATATTTTTCAAACGTTGGCAGTTGTGACGAATTCCGTGATTACGCACTGCATTTGTTTTCAAACGGTCTTGGCTTCTTACTGAAGGTAAAGCTTGAAAGTGTGTTGACAAGTCTCGTGTTTTAATTCTCTGTTCGATGATGGATTATTATCAAGATTATCACGAAGACCCGAGAATTATTGCAGGAAATGGCCAAGATAACCGAGGAACTGCAGGTATTCCTGGAAGAGATGATGACCGAAAGTTATTTGTAGGTGGTCTGAGTCGGCAAACTACTGATAGAGAGCTTAAGGAGCATTTTGGAAAATTTGGAGAGATTGAGAGCGTCACTGTCAAAGTTGATCCCTATACAGGTCAGTCTAGAGGCTTTGCTTTCATTGTATTTGCAAACCCCAAAACTATTGATAAGTTACTGACATCAGGAGATCATTATATCAACAAAAGGAAAGTAGATCCCAAGCGGGTATCAAAGAAGACACAGCATGGGAAAATATTTGTTGGTGGCTTGACTCCAGATATCTCTGATGGAGATATCCGGAATTACTTCTCTCAGTATGGAACAATAGTGGAAGTGCAAGCACCATTTGATAAAGTAAAGAACCAGAGGAAGGGTTTCTGTTTTATCACATTTGATTCCAAAAATGTTGTATACCAACTTCTGAAATCCCCTAAACAGTACATCAATGGCAAGGAGGTTGATGTGAAGAAGGTGAAGATCAACCCTGAAACTATGGGTGTTGGAGGACGAGGTGGATTAAGGGGTGATACACGAGGCTGGGGAGCAGCCCATGCTTATGCTGGATATGGCTATGATTATGGCACAGGGTATGGCAGTACAGGTTATAACAGCTATGATTATGGTGGTCCATACAATGATTATTCTGGCTATGGCTACAGCAATTCTGGTGCCACTCCAGGATATGGGAACAAACCAAGGGCAGGTGGCCGTCAGTTCCAGAGACATCAGCCATATTGAAGATGGACATTCACGTCTTTTGCATATGTCAGTTTTTGCTCTATATATGTTTCTTATGTTGCACATTATATATCAGCTTTCATCTGTTTTCATTTTATAAGTAATGTTAATGTATTGAATGTAACAATACCAATAACCCACACTGAGTGTTTTTAATTCTGGTATATAGCAGTCACCACTGTTTTATGTGGATACAGTGCAGTGTTGTGTGAAATTCATGAACAACTGACTTAAAGAAATCTGTGTCATTATTTGAGTGAAAGTCATTACAAATTCTTCAGGAATCTCTGCCAGAATTGTGTCGCCAAGTAAGAAAATTATTCTGAACTCATTATTCTCTCGGAATTTCGAAAGATGTGTAAGACTGTTTCATTTATACTCTTTAAAAAGTGATTATTGGAGTTCTTTTGTCTTTTCTGTCCGCCTGTCTGACAGATCCGTTCAAATTGATTTGCCCATAGCGATGACTAGAATGTGTGAGATTGAATAACTTATCTTACGAGTACGTAACTTGCAATGTACAAATTCCAGAATATGATCAATTTTCTGCCGGTATACACTTTGACTGCCATGCTCGTTTACAGCCAGGCACAGAAGTAAACATGAAACGTATGAATATGTGAATGCTACATGCATGGTGTTCATACAACTTGAAAAAATTTATAACTTTAAACAGCCATAGAAATTTGTTAAAAGTGCAGAGTGTTCCACAGTCAGGGAATTTTGTAATAATTTATAGAATCTTGAGAAAGAAGCACATAGGTTTCAGAACGGTCGCGATATCCATCGCAAATAACAGCTTTGATTGCTATTAACAAGCTAATTTGTATCAATCTGTGTGTTTCATATGAGTGTAATGGATTTTGTGACATTCAGTGTCAAACTTTTTTCTAGTGTATATTTTCAATCCCACAATGAAGTAAGTTGACCTTAGACTACATAATTAGACTCATATTTAATATTGGACAAGAGATAAACTGGGTAAGGACCCCAATAGATGTGTAGTTTAAGTGTGTACCAGAAGAGACCAATGTCTAAATATTCTCTTCATAGTGAATGGATTGATTTATACAAGGTATCTTGGAACAACTGGAGCAAGACTCGTTTAAAATTGATTGGATTTTGAAATCACATATTTGTATTGAGGTGAAAGTCATAAATGGGATGAAACCACTAATTATATGAATATGGTTTGTAAAATGTAATATAGTTGCAGAATGGGATAAAACAGATTTAGTCAGATTGTTGTGTTGTAATTGGATTATATATTTTTTTTAAGCTGGAAACATTTTTTTTTAACTCAGTGATTCTCAAGTTTGAATTTTTGTAGCTTGTGTTTACCAAGTAGTAATTTGATAAAGCTTCACTAACAGAAACAAGTAAAAGTGACTTTTCATGTGAAGATATGGGACTAAGTTTTGTAGGGGGGGGGGAAGACAAAAAAAAAACATTTCACTGCATACTCAGAAATCAGTTCTTTGAAAAGTTCCCTTACATTTTCTTTTTGAGCCTAGTGTATTTCAATATTTTCACTGTTGGGTTGAAATAGTACCTTTGTAGTAATGCCTTTTTCAGTCATAGTGATCTGAAATGTTGCAGATTTAATTTGTGTTTTACAGTGACTAAATTTCCATCAACTATAATTTTTTTGTTTATATAAAGTCAGTTCATGAGATGTATGATGTTGGTATTATGAAAGCTAAGGTATGCTATTTTGTATGTACTAGGCTACTAAGAATACTTGCAGAACTTTACAGGCCATCTGCGTAATATGTATTTAATAAGATTTCATATAACTTCAGGAAATTAAAAACGGTTTCCTATGTTGGTATTACCTGAAGTGTTTATGAGTATGGAGGAGAAAAATGTTTTGAAATTTTTTTTTTCAATGAAGAGAAATATTTCACAGTGTAGTTTTCTTTGCGTAAATCAGAACTTTACAGGTATCAGGAAGATGGTCAGCTGATCCGAAATGTGTTACGGATGAATTAATAGTGTATGAGTTATAATGCCACTTATGAATTTAGAATAAAGCTGGGAATTAGGACACAATGTTACTGCTGTTTCAGACATGACAACATTGAAATAAAATATGTATGTCATATAGATAAACTGATTTTTTTTACCTGGTAAAAAGAAAGCTATGCAAATTGTACTTTGGGAGAACTCTGTTGATGCTTGACACAAAAATCTAAGCTCATAAGATGATTTTGAAGTTTGCACGACTTAGGCGTGATCCATTGCATATTCATTTCTTGCTCTGTCTTACGTATGTCTCCTAGTATCTATAACAGTAAGTGAACCTGAGGTACAAGACCATGTCATGCAATATTGTACTACACTGTACACCCAATTTCCAAATGTGTAATCTCTACTCCTGTAACATTTAGTGTAGTATGTATGTCTTTCTGACCTGGGCTCTATTATTAGGGATATAATATTATTGCCATATACAAACTGTTTGATATGGAGTGGAAATATTAGCATTTTTTTTAATAATAATATATTAGTTGTAGAGCTGCAAGGACAGAGTACTTGAAAGACTAAAGCTGTGGTTTTTATGAATTACTCTGTGAAGGACCAATAAGGGGAAAGGGATGGGGGGAAGTGAAAGTAACTTAGACCACAGTGTTACTATAAAGATGCACATTCATTTTTCTTCCATTGTATACAACCTTTTAGCAAAATACAAGTTGAAATAGGTCTGAGACATGGAGTATGGTCTTTATACCTTCCAAACCAGTCAGATGACCAGGGCATTCCAGTTGCAGGTGTGATGCAGTGTTATACAGAGAATATTTATGTATATATGTAGACACATGGTGATTCGGGAGACTTCCAAACTTGGTGGATGCATTATTCAAACGATTTTTGTGTAAAAGTACACTGTCAACATGGAGCCAATTTGGAAGTGAGGTGAAGGCATATGGGAAACATTTCATAATACCTTGAATGTAAAATTAAGGTAAGTATCCTTTAATAATGAAATGTGTTACAAAGGTTCAAAGTATATGCCTGTGATTTAAATGCACATTTCCAGCCCCTTAAATATTTCTTGTGTTTTTTTTCAGTGCGTTTCATTATCAAGTAACTCATTACCCTGTTTTCAGTCTTGCATTGTCACAGAAATTTTTATTAAAAATCATTATTTCTGGTACATCCGTATGTGACTATCAAACTGCTGTAATTCCCCGACTGTTTTATCAACTGGATCAATGTTGATAGGACTTTTTTTTTTGCTGAAAATTGCTTTTCTATCATATCCAGGAAGTTTTCCAGTCTCCTTCTGAATCACTCTGTATATATACTATAGTATATTTTTTTTGTTCATTTTCTTCATTAGAAGCTGTAATCTGCCACTAGGGAAGCCCTGATACACATTTCCTTCCAACATTCCTTTCAAATGTTGCAGGGAAGTAAACAAAGAACACAAATGCAGTATTAAGTGAAACACATGTTTATAGTTAATATCTATATGTTGTTAGTAAGATCTCTCTTTATTTTCCTTGTTCTTTAGGAATAACTTGAAATGTTTTAACTCTTTTGGGATGCTGCAGTGTTGTTTTCTCCATTTTATGTTTAGAGTCTCGGAACATTGAAAATAGATACAAGTCATATTTTATTTAAAATTTGAGGGTTGAATGAAGACAATAAAAAATAGATTACAAGTTTTCTGCCTTACGGCCGATCTGAATTAGATTTTAAATGTGAACTGTAGAAGAGGAAAAGAGGTAGTTAATTTTGTAAGAAAGGGTTAAATGCTCTCGAATGTAGTAGTGATGGTTTAAAATTTAAAATTTTGCATTTCAGTTGTGAAGTTCTGTTAACAGTACAAAATATGAGATTCTGATGGTGGTGGTTATGAAGATTACTGTTTTTTTAAGGATGTGACACCATGTCTGCTAATAGGTGTTCAGCAATGTTTCGGAGGAACATAACTGTCTCCATTTTCAAGATGGAAGATGGAGACATTACATCCTCTGAAACATGTACCAGACTACACAGCACATCTTAGAAGACAGTAATGTTTACTTTTAAAAGTACTGTATTTCATTATGGTATTTTTTTTATTGCTAGTGGGGTGGGACTAAGTCCCTTGTACTGCGACCACTTCTGGCCTATTTACCAGCCCCAGATGATAGGTGAGGGTGATTGTGGAGCAATTGGTGGAATGAAAATTGGCAGGGAAAACTGAAGTACTTAGAGAAAACCTGCCCCTTTGTCCATCACAAATCCCGCTTGACCAGGCCCGGGATCGAACCNTATCACAAATCCCACTTGACCAGGCCCGGGATCGAACCTGGGCCGCAACTAACTGCTTGAATTATGGTAAATACTAATCCAAATTTGTACTGAATATGGGTTTAATTCCCATTTTGTAGTTTTCCTCTAATCTGTTATAGTCATTACTATATCATTGCTATAATCCTACTAGTGGCAGAATTAAGGAGAGTTAAAGTAGAGAAAGAGTCCATCATTAGGTATTTGAGGTCCTGAATATTTTAGTATTAAAAGTAGTAAATATGACGGTTGTACTGAAAGTCATAAGCAACGATTTTTTGTAAAGTAACATGCTTTATTATTGACAAACCAAATACACCACCTCAATCTACAGACCTTTCTTTATTTTTCCATGTAATCGCCACTTTGTACACGTTTCTCCCAGCGTTCTGGGAGTTTGAAAATTCCCCTTCTGTAAAATTCCGTTCCAGCCATCCGCAGACACTGACGCACTGCTTTCTGAATTGCCTCCCTTGTCTCAAAACGTCCACGCAGCTGATCCTTCAGATCAGGGCTATAGGAAGGGTGTGGAAGAACTTCCCACCCCATCTTTGCAATTGCTTCCAGTGTGAGGCGAGCAGCGTGGGGGTGAGCGTTGTCATGCAGGATGATGATGTTTCGTCCTGGACGTTTATCGCGCAATGCACGATGGAGCTTGTGCAGCGTCTGGACATAACAAGCAGCATTGATGATTTGCCCAGGTTCCAGGAATTCAGCCAGAATAAACCCCTCTGCATCCCAGAAGACTGTGCCCATCACCTTTGCAGCTGATGGCACTGTCATTGCCTTCTTTTTTGATGGAGAATGCAAATGGTGCCATTCCATACTCTGCCGTTTCGTTTCAGGCTCAAAATGGTGGAACCAGCTTTCATCACCTGTCACAATACAGAGCAAAAAATCACCTTTGTGTCGATATCTCTGCAGCAGTTCCGAGATAATGGCTTTTCACTGACCTTTGTGGTCTTCGGTCAATAACCGCAGGGCCCAACAAGCACAAACTTTCAATCATCTCTTGTACTGCACTGTGCCCTATTCCAAGTTTTTGGGCTATTGTGTCCACAGTCACACACCTGTAATCTTGAATGATCTCATCCATTCTTTCCTTATTGCGTTCAGTTGAGGCTCTTGGAGGATGACCGCACCGAGGCTCCTCTACGATGTTGGTGTTCCCATCTTTAAAATGTTTCACCCATCTTCGAACACTGCTCGTGCTCCATAAGCACGCTGAAGTCTCTGGTGAATTCCTGCAGCAGGGATTTCCTCTTTCACAAGAAATTTGATGACAGCATGCTGGCAAAATGACATATGGTTGTCGGCCATTTTGTTAGGAGTGATACTGGTCACGTGATGCAAGCTATTGACGTCACAAGACACCCAAGGTTAACACAACAGCTGGTTCCACCTACCACCATACTCTCTTTCGTCTGCTGTTCCCAGGTTGCATGCAAAAAAAAGTTGCTCATGACTTTTGGTATGACCTACGTATGTGTGTACAGATTAAAACGTGATAGATCTAAATTTGATTTGTTTCATTCTGGTCTGTCACACTGATATTATGAAAAGTTAAATAGTTCCATCAAGGGCATGAATAATTGAAATAAAGACATTTTTAACCAGTCACACTGGACGGAACTATTTAACTTTTTCGTGATAGATCTAACTTAAACCTGTATGAGTTAATCACATTACCAGTTTTGGATTAATTACTTGTGAACTGTCAATAAATAAGCTCTGAAAAAGATTCCAAAGAAAGAAATGAAGTATTTGCCAATACTGAATATCCAGTTGTAAAAGTGAAGTGTGTGTTTTTTTTATAATGACTGAAGTGCTATGGCTTGTGTTAATCAACCATTTCACAATTTTTCTGCGCTTTTACTTGCTTTCACCACATGGAGAAATTCTTAGTTCAGTATATTTGGTCATTGTTCAACATATATTTCATATATTGATTCCTGAATAGTGCATTTTTATTTCTGATTGTAGAATTTTGTATTCTTTATAAATGCCACACACCATACACCCATTAATAGTTGAGTTGCAATGACACAAATTTTGGTATGCTTGTGTTTATCAGTGTTTCATTATTTGAGTCTTGTAAGTTGTGTATATGGTTTATGTTATAAGATATTTAGTATATACTTGCATCATACATAGGTTAATCTAGGTTGTGTGGATAATTCATAAAGTAAATAAAATAAGCTATTGTGCTACCATGAACATGGTAAGGAACCTTAGGTGTCCATAAAATACTGGGAAATTCTTGAGTACCTGCAGATTTGGCTTCTCAAGAAGGGCTCAGTTCCATAAGTAAGTAATGCAGGAATCTTGTGTGTCATATGCATAATTTATATATACTTATGACTTAGCTGATGTATTATTCATGTAACATTGGTAAGAAAAGCCTGAGTAGGATGTGGTTAATGTAAACCAAGATATTTATGCAACTTACAAGAGTTAAAAGTGAGACATACATGTTTATATTTTTTCTTTATATATAAAATTATTGTCTTCATTTTGAGGCTTATGGTTATGCACAGTTCCATTGGCATAATTAGTATTATTTTGACTTTCATAAACATTTGAATGGTGACATCAGAAATTGCTGTTTTCAGAAACAGGTTCTCATTTCCTTCAGTCTTATGTTATTTTGGCACATGGCTGTTTAATGGGTTCTTTAAACACATTTTCATAACAGTAATTTATAGTGTCAGTTGACAGGTAATATGATTGTTGAATTTGGAAGGATATCAAGTGGTGATGTTTTTTTTTAAGGGTCCTCTTTCAGTGTTTGCATGTGGGTATTGAGGGAGACCACAAGAAGAACTTATGGCTAGTACTTTCAATGTTAGGATTTAAACTCTCTTGATTACAAAGATAGGAGCACTAATGTTATTTGTTTTCACTTCTCTTGTTCTTGTGTTAATGACCTTAAACAACAGATTAACTGGGTAAAGTAAAGTAAAGTAAAGTAAAGCTATCCCTGTAACAGGCCATGAAGGCCCATAGGGTTGTGAGATGTTGAGGGTCCCACATTATCTGGACCATCGGCTCATAGATGGTTGTCAAGCCTTACACGCCGGCCGAGCTTTACTCCCCAGGATAATTATTTAATTCATTCGTGGTACTCATTTCTGTTGGAGGCTGAGTCGACCCCAGGGTCATAGTGCGACCGGAAGGATTAGGTCAATTGAAAAAAATCCAGTGACCTCATTGGGACTTGAACCTGTGACCTTCCAGCTTCTAGCATAGTACCTCAACCAACTACGCTACCGCATGCTCCCAGATGATAAAATGCAGACAGATCATGACTGTAGAGTAGATTTATATTTCCTTATAATCTGAGCATTTGGCTTACTGTGTTGAAATAATTTTTTAACCCATTCAGCAATTTTCTGCATTGTATCATGGTTGCTAGTCTCAGAGACTG